ATCTACCAATTTCTTACTTACGCGAGAAGAATTTGTTTCAACATCATTACATCACTCATCACTCATCACCACTGATCACTACTATCTTATCACTATCATCAACACTACCATCAATCACAATCAGTTTCATTGGCTCGTTCTCTGATAAACACATTTCTTACTGAAAGTGCAGGAGATATAGTAGTAAAGGGAAACAATTTCAGATAAGAAAGTTATTCTACGTTTTACTTTCAAAGTTAAATTATTTGTATTAATTGGTAATTGTAAAATAAAAACCGCTCTAATTCTGGAATTGTGAAAATTCCAATTCCCGATAAGGAAGTTAGTGTACGGACGTGGTTTTTCTTGTATCTTTTATCACCAGATGTAATATTATTACGTAAGTCAATTAAAAAAAAACGCTTAAAACTAGATTCAACTTTTCGCCTGCTCATTCTGCGATATGTGAGGTTTAGTTTGCTTCCCAGCAGAAACAAATGTGTATGATCATTATTTGGCTAAGCTAAAGAGCTGAAAGGTGAATGTTTATTCTCGTATTCGGTTTTCGAAAAGAAAAGAAAAAAACTCTGTGTACAGACTAAAGGAAACATAAGCTCACTATCTAAAGAAAATTTTCTTTTTTTTTACTAATCGCTGGCACGGACTGTTTTGTACCCTGTTTTGGAGCTTTATTTTGTTATTAAATATTTACTCAACTGTGCGCTCGTTTACCGGCAATAAAAAAAACCTAGATTACAACATAAGGCACAAATGTCCCTGACATGAATTTCATTTTTTTATAATTAAAAAGAAAAACATTTTAGTTCATCGTTTAAGCTTTAATCCACAAAAGGGCTGCAATTCGCTTACGACGTAACGTGTTGTCAACGTATGATAGCTCAACAGCAGCGCCTATTTAGCATCAAACAGAATAAGAACTAACACTGTGCAATATTGGACAGTTTAAGAACGAGTTTAAGATTATCTCGTTTGCAGCTATTAAAAAAATGATATCAAAGTGAATTTCTACTAACTGACTTTCTATGGAAATTACCCTATGTAAGCAACATAGGTTCCCATGCAATGAGTCACTATTAATTCTTCGCAATTGCTGAGCTCCACGATTGCGGAGCAAATAGGGTACCTTATCGAGGCCAAAATTATTCTATAACATAACAAAAGTGACGCGCTCTCGCTGATTGGACAATAACTCATTTACTATTTAAAAATGTGTGAATGCTGACGAAAGGAAGCGCCGCTTAAAGTCGTATGCCTCACTTTCTAAGAGATTATATTTTGTTATTATTCTATAGTTTGCAAAGGTTTTTGTATTAGTACTGAGAAAGAGTTTAGAAAGCCGTTTTAGCTGACGTAAACGGTTTTTTACAATCAACATAACGGTTTTCTCGTGCTTGGCAACCTCCCACGGGCATCCATAGCTCGATTGCTGCACGGCTGCAATGTTTACCATTTTTCTTTCATTGGTTATAACGTCAATTTACCCTCGTACGTCGCTGTACGCCAATGTAAAATGTCCTACTCGAGATAAAACTTCGCCAAATTCCGCCGATTTTGACATGAAGAATGCATATGACCATGGGTATTTCGAAAATGAAGACAGCAAACCTCGCAGAGAAACAGAAACATGTTTTTTTCTACCGGTGCGGTAGTGTGCTTCTTAGCACAAACCTTAGCTTAACGCCTTCCTGTTGGCACGTTGGTCATATGTTCTTTGACAAATTTCTGATAATAAGCAGTGGCCGGGCATTTGTTGGTCCCTGTCGTTACTTATTGCTGTAGCAGCAATACGCCTTTCAAAGTACAAAAGGCACCCTGAATCAGGGCGGAATCGGTNGATTTCGAAGTCTCTGTAACTCGTGTTGGTGTGTTGATCAATATTGACAAGTTATAGGAACGGCAAAAGTTAACAAGGGCTTTAGCTCCAGGATCGTCGCTATTCTCAAGTCTGCAGTTCAAATCACCTAATAGATAAATTGGAACATTAAACGACGAGGCATAAATAAAGTTCTCTGTAAGATCTGAATCGAAACAAGATAAAGAAGTGTCCGGTGGTCTATAGGTTGTACAGACAAGGAAGGACTTCATGTTTCTGACGTGGATTTTTAGCCACAGTTGATGGAAGCCAGAGGCCGTGATAAGAGAAATGTCACTCAAGTACTCCGTCCTGTAATTTCGTGAGACATAAGCACATACTCCACCGCCAACCCTCGCCTGTCGGTCGATTCGGTAGATAACGTAGCCAGGGATTTCTATCTCCAAAGATTGGGTACACCATGAGTCATGTACCAAATCAAGACAAGATTTGGTAAAACAATTACTGACATCTACCAATTTCTTACTTACGCGAGAAGAATTTGTTTCAACATCATTACATCACGCATCACTCATCACCACTGATCACTACTATCTTATCACTATCATCAACACTACCATCAATCACAATCAGTTTCAGTGGCTCGTTCTCTGATAAACACATTTCTTAAGGAAAGTGCAGGAGATATAGTAGTAAAGGGAAACAATTTCAGATAAGAAAGTTATTCTACGTTTTAGTTTCAAAGTTAAATTATTTGTATTAATTGGTAATTGTAAAATAAAAACCGCTATAATTCTGGAATTGTGAAAATTCCAATTCCCGATAAGGAAGTTAGTGTACGGACGTGGTTTTTCTTGTATCTTTTATCACTAGATGTAATATTGTTACGTAAGTCGATTTAAAAAAAACGCTTAAAACTAGATTCAACTTTTCGCCTGCTCATTCTGCGATATGTGAGGTTTAGTTTGCTTCCCAGCGGAAACAAATGTGTATGATCATTATTTGGCTAAGCTAAAGAGCTGAAAGGTGAATGTTTATTGTCGTATTCGATTTTCGAAAAGAAAAGAAAAAACTCTGTGTACAGACTAGAGGAAACATAAACTCACAATCTAAAGAAAATTTTTCTTCTTTTGTTTTACTTATCGCTGGCACGGACTGTTTTGTACCCGGTTTTGGATCTTTATTTTGTTATTAAATATTTACTCAACTGTGCGCTCGTTTACCGGCAATAAAAAAAACCTAGATTACAACATAAGGCACAAATGTCCCTGACATGAATTTCATTTTTTTATAATTAAAAAGAAAGACATTTTAGTTTATCGTTTAAGCTTTAATCCACAAAAGGGCTGCAATTCGCTTACGACGGAACGTGTTGTCAACGTATGATAGCTCAACAGCAGCGCCTATTTAGCATCAAACAGAATAAGAACTAACACTGTGCAATATTGGACAGTTTAAGAACGAGTTTAAGATTATCTCGTTTGCAGCTATTAAAAAAATGATATCAAAGTGAATTTCTACTAACTGACTTTCTATGGAAATTACCCTATGTAAGCAACATAGGTTCCCATGCAATGAGTCACTGTTAATTCTTCGCAATTGCTGAGCTCCACGATTGCGGAGCAAATAGGGTACCTTATCGAGGCACAAATTATTCTATAACATAACAAAAGTGACGCGCTCTCGCTGATTGGACAATAACTCATTTACTATTTAAAAATGTGTGAATGCTGACGAAAGGAAGCGCCGCTTAAAGTCGTATGCCTCACTTTCTAAGAGATTATATTTTGTTATTATTCTATAGTTTGCAAAGGTTTTTGTATTAGTACTGAGAAAGAGTTTAGAAAGCCGTTTTAGCTGACGTAAACGGTTTTTTACAATCAACATAACGGTTTTCTCGTGCTTGGCAACCTCCCACGGGCATCCATAGCTCGATTGCTGCACGGCTGCAATGTTTACCATTTTTCTTTCATTGGTTATAACGTCAATTTACCCTCGTACGTCGCTGTACGCCAATGTAAAATGTCCTACTCGAGATAAAACTTCGCCAAATTCCGCCGATTTTGACATGAAGAATGCATATGACCATGGGTATTTCGAAAATGAAGACAGCAAACCTCGCAGAGAAACAGAAACATGTTTTTTTCTACCGGTGCGGTAGTGTGCTTCTTAGCACAAACCTTAGCTTAACGCCTTCCTGTTGGCACGTTGGTCATATGTTCTTTGACAAATTTCTGATAATAAGCAGTGGCCGGGCATTTGTTGGTCCCTGTCGTTACTTATTGCTGTAGCAGCAATACGCCTTTCAAAGTACAAAAGGCACCCTGAATCAGGACGGAATCGGTGATGTTCCGCGTTATTCCGCGAGGGCTCCCTCATTGCTAATACTTATCCTAACATCTTAAGTAATTTTTTCTCTTCCTCTTCTTTTAACCTCTAATCCAATTTTAGCTTTTCAAATAATTTTCTTTTGAAGTATTGAATATATGAAAATCATATATATGAACTGCGGAGTGACGAATTAAATGAAGGATGATTTATAGTAAACGATCCAATTCAACGCCCTGCTCCCAGTTGGCTTGTTAGCTTAATTTGTACAGCGCTGCACCGGTACTGCAGAAGTCAAGGGTTCGAATCCCGTGCAAGCCTGATTGTTTTGCAGGCTTTCTTTTCGCAACTGCAAAAGTTACTTATAGAAAGAAAAAGAAAAACAAAGTTAGATGTTAAGATTTGCACTAATTATGAGGGACCGGCAAACTCTATGTCTACCTCAAGTAAGTGCTAAAATAGGAAAAAGGGTAGAGATAAATTTATAAGTAAATGAAATGAAATGGCAGTATAAAAGACAGACTTACAAAAATAAGAAAATTAAATAAAATTAAATTAAATGAAGGATGATCATCGCAGTTATCACTTTTTGCTTTGTAAAAAAAAGAACCAATAACAACAACAACAGTATATTCATCTAACAATATTTGTAGCATTACGAGTGTTCAAAGTATGGGATCCCTAACGAAAGATAGAAGTTAGGGAGAATGTGTGCGTTTGGGAGTGTTGTGGGTGCGAAGATGCACCTGTAGTAAATATTTTGGTAACTTCCAAACGCAAAGTAAAATATTTATCTTCACCCTTGGCGCAAAATAAACATAAGATTAAACAGAAGGGGTTAAATCGAAAAAGATAAAACATGGCACACAATACACAGCTGTTCACAAAGGAAAAAGGTGATAAACATCCCGGCTGTTGATATAAGAGTCAATAAGATGTTTATCAATCTCGCGCCTAACGGAAAATAAACAATAATCAGCAAATGTGTGTTTGCCAGCGCTTTTGTTATATGCCTAACGTTTACCAGGGTCACGAGCCCGTAAAAAGGGCCGCGCGAAGAACTATGTTAGTCACATTGCTAACGGATATTTAGCAGTGAACTTTGGTTGGGAAATGAAATCTCTACTTGTTCTCCTGTTTCTCGGAGCGGTAGTCGCCACCCTGGCTGAGGAGCCTTTTGAGGATGAGGCAGTCGCGGAGTTGTTAGATGAAGAGGATGATGAAACCATTGCCGAGCTTGCTGATGAAGAGAATGACCCCCGTCGTCGTCCCCGTCCAAGTGGCCCTCCGAGGGCGGTAAGATCTTCAACCTTGTCTCCAGTTTTAAACAGACTACTGGGATTTGCACAATCAGCTTAAACTAGCAAACCTAATTTGCTTAAGATTCCTTTCCACGCCCTTATGAAATAGGTGCTGAGGGGAACTTCGGGAGAATCGCGCTCCCTCAACCCGGAAATTGCGTATTTTATTTGGTTAACATGTGAGAAAGATAACTCTGTCAAAAAAAATAGTCTTAGCTTTTTCTTTGGTGATTGGCATCAAATGATAAAGAATGGAATCATCGATTAATAAAATACTAGCAAACGGTGTTTTAATATAAACGGTAACGTATCATGGAGCCATTATTATAAAACTCACATAGTTTAATTCTTTTCTCTTAAAAAGTGCAAACTATATTTTAAGAAATGCTTAAAGAAGCCAACTGGTCCTCGTCCCACACGTCCCATCAAGGTAAGATCTTCCTTGTCTTTATTTTGAACCCTTATACTTTGATGTCGAGACGTAGTTTTACGGCAAAAGTGTGTAGTCAACTTATATTGTTTTTATACGACTTGATGAAATACATGCACCAGGTGAGCTAGCTCTTTAGTAATTTTTTTCAGCCGGGGTAGGTTGTTACATGTTTGAAAGAGTGATTACCCCTTTGTCAAGAAAGTAATCATAGCTCAGTTTTTTCATATTCACTGATAATCTAGCGTCAAGTGATAAAGACAGCCAGCATCAATCAATGAAAATCCTGACATGTGATTAAAAAAAAATCAACAAAGTTTTCGAAGTATCCTACCACAGAGGTATTAAAAAATTCACACAATTCATCTTCTCTCCCACCTAGAAAAAGATTTGCCAAAAACTGCGGAAAATATGCAAGAAGCTCCGGCCCAGTAGACGTCCTAAGCCTTAACTGATTGACAGCCCAACGGTACTGCAAAGATGACGTGTCCCATTAACAGAAAACTTGATGTTACGAAATTAAATGTAGTTGTGAAGTTAGGGTGGTACAGTTGATTCAAATAAAGCATTGAAAAGGTGTCTTGTGGTTTTACTCATGTGCCTACAGTAGTTGAGAATTTATCTAATAAATGATAATTATAAAAGTAAATTATAATTATCATAAAAAATTATCCCAGAATCCTTTGAGAAAATTTTTGTTAAAGCTCTATAACTTTGACAATTTTATACGTAGAAGAAAGTCAGACCACAACAAGTGAACATTTGCCATAAAATATCTTCCCACATCACATCTAAGGTAAAAACGTCCTCAGTCACGTGACTATTTCCGAATTAGGTTTGTTTGCTGCTGTGAAAAGATTTCATTAACGAGTTATAAACAAATAGCAGAATTGAGGTTTTAGTTCAGGGGAAGGGGGGGGGGGGGTTAAAAGTAACCAGTTGACGTCCGGCATTTAAAATATAAGGGAGTAATAAACATGAGCGAAAAAGTCGGGAGACTAGGCCGAGCGATGTAGAGAGTCAACCTTTTATCACACGGCAGAGAAAATTTGCGGGAAAGTAATGTTCTATCTGATAATTTTTTTCTTGACCAAAATAGAGACATGACGTCATCAGTCACGTGATCAAAGCGTTTTGAATGTTTTAGTTCGTTTTTAAAGTGCCTTTTTGTCATTAATTGGCAAGTTATTTTTTCCTCAACAATTCTTTACACTGTATTATCTCTGAGCAATTATTATTCCATTTTCAAAGCAGAACCAAACGAAAACTGAGCCAGAAGCTCAAAAGTTGCGTAAATTGATATTTATTACAAGTTAAAATCGAAAAGGAGACCTACTCTTGAGACTTTTGTAAAATCCTTTTTCAACGTAACTGTTTGTTTGCCGAAATAAATGTTCAACGTTTGTTATTAACGGGAGAACTTTAAAAACTAAAAGTATGTATTGGGCGGCCATATTGTTTTTCTTCATTCCCGGGGAGAGAAGTCTCGTAACAGTATTAATTGGTTTATTGTGAGCTTTACGTCTAGCTTCGATCAGTTGGCCTTCTGTGTAAAAGTTGTCAAACTATGTTATGATTGAAAAAAATCCACGTTTCCTTCAAAAGTAGACAAAAAAATTGCTTCGGCGGTTCTTTGTCAACAACAAAATGTTACCCCGTATAAAGCTTGGCCCAGCTCGGTTAATTTCTCCAACCAGGAATGTAGCGTGCGTATACGCACATACGCCTATGCAATCAGCTAGTAAAATCTGGAAAAAATATATAGATTTTTTTATCTCCCGAAAGCATCTTTATCATTAAATTTGGATAAATATTTCGCATTATATTGGTGTTTTTGTGTTAGGATTTCCTTTATCCTTTTACTGATTAAGTAGAGTGAAATGGATCCGAATGCTGAAGCATTTTTTTTTTGGTTGAGACTTTTGACCAAGCCAACTACAATTCTCTCCTGGAGTATAATGTAGCTCTCATAACTTTGTTGACTTATCCTGTGTCAGCATGCACAGCTGAGCGTAGTTTCAGCGGTATGAAGAGACTGCAAACTCCTTTACGAAGGATCATGACAGACGAGAGATTGAGCTCTCTTGCAATTCTGCACATACACAACCACAAGGACGTAATTAATATTGATGGCATTATGACAGAGTTTGCATTGTCTGGAGGGTACACATATCGCCCTTTCCTTGTAACCTCCTTGATGGCGTCACTGTTTTACCCTTTTTTGCCGTAAACACTGTACCTTACCGATAACACTAGAGATGGGCAAAATATACAACTAATTACTGCATTTCCCTTCGCCTTTATTTACTGAAAATGTGAAACTGGCATTTCCGAGACCCCAAATTTAAACATTTTCTGGGGAGCATGCCTCCAGACTTCTCCAGGTTTGGGGCGCCTTTGGCGCCCTAACTTTTTTCCCGTGCACCTTCAGAATCTCACGCTACGCTGCCAGCTACCCGTATTTTATAGCTTATGAAATCAATGCCCAAGGATGGAAGAAGGGTCTTGGTCTAGAAGTGGTTGGAAGGGCTGTTATTGCCAGGGGGTGGGGGGGGGGGGGGGGGGGGGGGGTGGGGGGGGGGGGGGGGGGGGGGGGGGGGGGGGGGGGGCGTACAATTTTCATATGTAATTATTTGGGGGGAAGTTTTGATACACCACACTTTTCTGACAACTCCCGCCCCCCTCTGGGACGTAATAAATGATCGGTCCCTAACCAAATATATGAAACGAGAATACAATACGATATTGGACGATACAGACTCTGCGAATTGTCATAACTTTGTCCCATCTCAGAGCTTTACAGGATGCTCTCCGGGAAACTAGAAAAAGCTAGAAACAACCAAATTGCACGTGCAGCACTCTTTTTTTTTCTAATTAGCAAAAAAACAAATTTGCACGTGCAAAACGCGTTTTGCCTTTCTTTGCCGTTGTTTTGCACAACTACAAACGCTGTTTTGTACGACTAAAACGTCAAACTTCCTAGTTACACATTATTTTTATAGAGGAATTGTCGTATGTGCTTACCCAATATTTTATCTCCTGTGTTATGTTCGTTTTTATTTTTCACTGCCGCTCATTTTCAACTTGCTGGCCGCTAGCATTTCTCATTGTCTCACAGCGACTTTGAATTTTCATGTTTTTCTTCTTACAAAATTCGTCTCTTTTGTTTTCAAACACTCGCTCTAGGTCTTTCTCTGTTATCCACGTGAGTGTAAACATAAAAGATAACGTCGAAAAAGACACGACTTTGTTGTTATTTTTTCTTTCTAAAAGTCCGGGCGACCATGCGATTTCTTTCCAAATAAAACCTTGAGTTGCATTTGGGTTGCCATACCTGTTGATTGAATTATTTTACATCGGTATTCCTGTGGTGCGGACGGTCGGGCGGTCGGTCGGTGTACGGTCACGTGATTACCAAATTTTCTCGGATGGGTGGTTTACCACATTTTTTTTACCCATGGTGTTCCGCTGCGCGCGCTTCGCGCGCGAGAGCTCCGCTATTAGACAGGGGAAGTTAAGAGAAATTACAAAATGTTTGCTAACCCAGTTTTCATATTTAACATTACTTTTTACGATTCACAAGCACTACGGCCTGAACCGTGAACTTACTTTAAAAAACGTCGAAGCTTTCTTTTTTTTCTTGTACCTCATTTTTTACTTTTGACTTGTCATATCAAAATAAGAAAAAAGAAGTGCATTAAAATCCTTTGCATATATATAAGGTCAAGGGTGTTCATTACATTTAATACTTCGTGTAATGACTTAATTGTCTCTGTTTGAGTCTTTAATTTTCTCTCTAATCTTTCATTATTTCGACTTAGCAACTTTCGACATTTTTGATCTTACACGGTTGTTCGGCTGCTCCACAGTTTTCTTAAGGTTCTCAAAACCAGGGTAAAGTTGCTGTATGACAGTTTTTGGTGACTTGTTAACTTTATCTTTTCCAACTGGGTTTTTTAATTGGACTCCAGATTCCTCTTTTTCCGACCATTTTGCTTTCGTTCTCTCCCGAAGATGTCTCCAATGTCTCTCTATTTTTGATCTAACACTGTTTGGGTGGTCCAAGTCTTTCTTTAGATTCTGAAATCCAGGATAAAGTCGCTCCACACCTGTTTTCTGGGCTTTCTTCCTAAATGCCATTTCACTTAAAGGCCTAACGCGAGGCTGCACTCCAGAAACAGCAGATGAGTCATGCGTTGTTTCAAAATCATCAACCATCAATTGATGTTCCGCTACACCTATTTCCTGTAACTCTTTGTCCATTCTTTCCAGTACCTTCCCCACATTCTGGACAATTCTTGACCTGACACTATTTTGGCTTTGTAGGGTTTTCCTTAGTTTCTGAAAGCCAGGATGAAGCCGTTCAATCGCAGGTTTGTTTTTCTTCCTCCCTCTCTTCCGTCCAAACGCCAATTTACGCCAACTGCCAGACTTGACATCTGCATGTTGAGCCTTTTGGTCTCTGGAGATCGAAGACTGTGGTGGTTCGTGGGAATCAACACTCTCCAGGGTTGCCTTTTTCACGGTGGTAACTGAGGACGATTCTCTCACACTGGCAGCAACCCCTTCAATAACTTGAATATTTTCGCAGGAATTTTCCGTCTCAAACTCTTTCCTCTTTCGGTTGGAAATATTCCTCCACTTGTTCAGGAGTTTGGATCTGATGCTGTTTGGCCTGTCCAAACTTTTCTTAAGATTCTGAAATCCGGAATGAAGCTCTCCAATTCCTTTGTTTTTTGACTTCTTTCCCTTTTTCAACCAAAGTGGAAATTTAGACCGACGATAAGTCTTCGGAACATCATCGTTTCGGTCGTAAGTACCAGCACACTGTTCGCCATGAAGATCGTAAGGGGACCTTTCCTTTGACGACTTGTCTCCTTGGTTGAAGTCTTGTTCACGAAGGTCGTCATTGGCAGTAGGCCCCTCCGTACAGCACTCTGTTGTCTCTCCCTTAGATTTTCCAAGTATGTTTTTCCAACTGAAAGACACCTTTGGCAATAAACTGAATGGAAATTTGGAATTTTCCATTGCATCATCTACAGTCCGAGAACTCGGCTTCACATTGCTTTCATTATCATGCCTCTCAAAGGAACCTGGGTTTTCGCTCTCATTTTCTTTCAACGTCAGGGAATAACAACCGTCATCTTTAGTTTGTCTGGGATCTTGAATTTTCTTCTTTTCGTTCTGAGTGAAGGGTGACCTTTGCTGGAAACGTTTTCCATCATGTTCATCGCGGCAAGAAGACTTTGAGAAATCGCTCTTTAGTTTTGAAGCCTTTGAGGATCGTGAAGTAAACACAAACGGTGTGCGAGATTTCTTTGCACTTTTCTCATCGCATTCTTTCCATGCGATCTTCTCAGCCGGAGAAATCTTGTTTTTTCTAAAGCTCTTTTTCTTTCTTGAATTTGACTTTTTCTCGACAGGAAAACCCTGACCTCTGCCTTTCCTCGC